TGTAACTTCTCTTCCTGCCAGTGACATTTTATTTGGATTTGCTTTGCGCCCCGACATCCCGGTTGTCTTCTCTGCATTGCTGGGAGTTCTCCGTCACCGTATCTGGCTTGCTCGCAATCGTTCTCGGTTCGATCAGGTTCCTCCGGATTCCTTAGTTACCTTGAAGAATATTCGATCTACGTCATTGTTCTCCGGACCGGTTCGAACGAGAGTGGCTGGTTGATGGACTGGTTGGTTCAATTACTGATGGCAATTGGATCCATTTTCCCCGCGATTTTGTAACATAGTTTTGTCCTTTGTTTGTTCTGTTCGTGTAATATCTGCTATGTTTCCTTGTTTGTTTTAGATGCCCAGGGGTCGCCTTAATTGGAAGTTACTGCCGTGGCTATGAAACTGTAAGTCAATTGTTTGTGAAGTAACTTGTTGTCTGGTCCTTTGTTGTCCAGTTCCTTGTAGTCTTTGTTCTGTATTTCGTATTTGTTCTGGGCACAGCGGTCTTCTTTGTTAATGTACTGTTGTTGTCTTAATTTTGGCCTGTGGTTTGTTCAGACTTTTGTTTGGATGGGTTGCACAGGTATCTGGTGAACTCAGGGGATTGTTCATGATGATTCATACCAGTTAACATCACCTTGCACCATTCACCATCAATAGGTGTAGGGACCCCTGGGTAGGAGGGAGCTTGCACCCAACTGCTCAGGCCATTCATGGTTGTATCATGGCATGGGGGAGAGGGTCATACTCTCTGTCGATCTGCTTGCTGGGTAGCAACCCCCTGGGTGCGGCGATTTCACAGGTACAGGTTCCATTGCACCGTCGGAGCCAGATCAGCAATGATCAATGCCTATCGTCGTTCAACTCAAAATAAGATCAAGTGTAGTATCTGTTCTTATCAGCTTAATATCTGATATGTTAGGCAATGCCTAACTCATATATTAAACTGATTTTTGGACTTTGGCCATGGGATTGAAGCTTGCTTTGCCCTGGCCACGGGTTGTCTTGGTATTGCACTACATCCGAGTATGGCCCCTTCCCCACTCGGGGAAGAACATTTTTTTATTTCAAATCAAACTATAAAGCAATCTCTAGTTTAAGAAGTACTTTTCACATGCCGATAGATTTATATTAACACCATACTCGAATACCACGTGAAATAATATATCACGGCTTTCTCATGCATATATAACATACATATCATATGACTTGTAACAATTTATTATTTATCCTATGTTGATATTTCACACCTTGTGAGCGTGTTTTCATTCGGCTATGAACCGAATCAACTACATCTAATTTTACTAGCATACTTTTTCATTCTCTAGATCGCGGCACATGACGTTCAAGACAAGAAGCTGAGCGGCGCAAACAACAGCATACTTACCTGACGCGAGTCAGGTTTTCGCCCCCGCTCAGTGGAGGATCTATGCTCAGGAACAAGGTCCTGTAACTCCGCTGACGGGTATTTACGAGCTGCTTACGCAGACATTCCATTTTTCGTCTTCTGCGCATGCGCAGCTCTCTTTTCGCTGTTCTCTGGCCTTTATTGGTCTTTAAGAGGCAGTGTTTTTCCTTCCACCAACTGGTTTGGGTTTTTCTTGCTGTTTCTGTGAACGAGGGTGGCCCTTGCGGCTTGTACTGTCGGGAGCAGGTCAGCGTTCTTTCCTGATGGCTGAACTCTACAAGCAGTGGAATGCTCGTGCCTGCGCCGTTACCATCCCAAAGGCGTTTGTCCAGTCATCGAAGTCGTCCGTGCTCGAGGAGTTATCTGCTGAGATCGCTGGTTTGTTGGACCCAGCCACCCTCCGGACCGTGCAAGCAACCACCAATCGCCGGTTCGTCCTCGAGTTCTCGAACCCATCAACTGCTGCGGAGGTTATGAGAAATGGCATTGGCTTTCGGGGAGTACACCTCACACCAACAGTGGCCTACTACAAGCTCACATCCGTCTTTGTGAAGCGAGCTCCCTTTGGTGTTCCCGATGATGA